AAGATTTCAACATAAACTCCTTCACTTCACATACACATGCAGACAGTGTAAGATTTAGCCCAAATATTTAAATACATAAAGTAAATAGCACGATGAAGAAAAACAAAAATAATTGATAATAAAGAATATAAAAGTGCTAGGTAACTGGATTAAAAATAGAGGATATAAACTAGAAAAAATTTCTAAAAACCCCTTCCTTATTTATTTTCGATTTTAAAGTATATACAGTATTATTTATTTTGTTATATACTTTATATTTACTATTATGTTGAGGCTAGTTGAGTCAGTGCACTTGAGCACTTTTACTCTCTATTAACTATGAGGTTTCTTCATAACCGCTCTCTACCCTTTGATTGGATTATTGTTTATCACTTAATCAGACTAAGTAATAAATGACTTCAGATCTGTATATGAAAATATTGTACCTTCCCGAGAAGATATAGTATTTTACAATTAAAATTCAAAAAGGAATGGATATTCTATACACCATAATGAAAAAAGATGTGTATGACACACTGAAGAGAATGCTGAAAAGGTACACAAGACACTCACTAACAATTTTTGGAAAATTAAAAAACTGTTTCAGATACATGCATAAACTAAACTAAGAGCTTGGGAAACTTTTATGTAATTATAGACATAAGAACTGATGCACTTACAAACTGTCGCTTTCTGCGCAGAAAGTTAAATCAATCCTATGAATGGCTTTTTACTTCTAACTCAAAGCCTTCCAAAATATGACTAACAGTGGGTACCTTTTTGTAACGACCTTTGTACCTTTTTTTTATTTATAATTGAATAACTAAACAAAATGAAGCAGTTTAAATGAATATTCGTCTGTCTCTCTGCATGGTTAGTCATTCATCAATATACGTGCGCATTAATTAAGTTGAATTTTCCTTAATCGTTTCATATTCCACATTTCATTCAATGTACTCTCATTTTTCTGTATTTTATAACTATGTTTACAAAAGTTTCTGTTACAAAAACTAACAATTAACTCAAAAACATACCAGTAAAAAGGAGGTGTATTTAATTTAAATTACTGCAATAAATCGAATTAATTTCAAAGCAAAACAAGTATGAGATAAAATTACTAAAACCTAATGCTCTCATCCAAATATAGAAGTACACGTATAAACCAACCAACATTAAATTGTACTTGTGATTCAAATTTCAATTAAAAACATTTGCTGCAATAACACAATTATATTTAGCAAGCTTGGAAGTGCAGAAATGGTATAAATTAATACCAAATAAATCAGGTTAATGAATGACTAGAGCTATAGAAAATGAAATTGCATCTCCAACTGCATTCAAGTAGTTTTTGTGAAATACTCGCATACTGTGAGTGGACTATATATTGTATGTGTCAATATATTAGATGAATGCTCTTTTATTTCGCTTATATTTCATTATTATCAGGTTTAATCCGATTTGAAAAGATTTAAGGCGTTCTCTTCTGTGTTGTCATTTAAATTAATTTTCTTCAGCAAGTTTTCTCCATTTGAAACTCTTTCAAATTCTCCAAAGGCACTAGTTATGCATTGAATGTAAATAGAAACTGTGCGTGATTTGCATACAAAATTAATTGCATTGTAAAACTGAAACGAAGAAACTTACAGACAATGAAACTATTTGCATCTAATGTGAAATGTAAACACAGAACACTTACAGAAGAAATTTTATAGAGAAAACTTAGGAGACCAACTTAAAATTTTTGAATCTTATATCTATAAAAAAACAACTAATGTTATAAACTTGATAGCACTGGAGTTTTAAATATTTCAAAAATTATATCTTTAACATACTTTAGAATAAAATTTAATTTACCTAACTACAGTTCAGCAAAGTTTTGTATAGTTAATCTCATTCATCTTCAGATTTCAGATATTTGAAGTCTTCAATTTGATCTAATAATGAAGTGAATTCCAAGAACAACAATGCTGAACAGATATTTATGTTCGATTTTGTGTCACTACAGTAGTCTTCCAGTTTTTTAATATCTAGTATTTAGGATCTAGTAAGAATCTAGTATTTAGATTTAAGCCAAATTATATTTATTGACAGCGATTTTACTTGACTGAATATCTATTAGATCACATTTCCTAGGGTTGTATGTAAGCTAAGAGTACTTGTGGTTTCTATAAAAAGTAACAAATCAAGTTTAAATATGATAAAGTCTTTTTTAAAGGCTAAAGTTACCTCGTTATCCTGCTTAATATTAGGGCTACACAGTTTAGTGGTAATAGCTTAATTCATATATATTTTCAATCAAGTTTTTCCAAAGCAGAGTTTAAAGTTAATCAATTTTCTTTAACAACTTCAATTATTTCAGCATCTACCTACATATACGTCTTCCAGTGATACTTGAAACGCTTTTAGAAATTTTAGAATTATTTATATAGTATATAATCTTACTATTGCTTAGGTGGCAATTTTTCATACCTTTTGGTGACGGCACAGTTACTTGCTTTACAATTGTCAAATGAAAACATACATATTTAGTAGACATAATATAAATAAATTCATTTTTTAACAAAATTTAAAACAATTACAAATATCGTTTCATATTTGGATTCTAAAAAACATCAGTAATACCTCAGTATACATCTATAGAATGTATATGATTTTAGCATATATTTCATACACAACCGGTTTAAATACCGTCTTCAAAACATTTAACATATATTAGGATGTTTTTCCCAACTAAAGAAATGAAAACCTTATTCTTATAGCATAGTAAGAAATAGTCACTAGTTAGCTCACTAGTGCTAAGTTTCCAAACTAAAAACTAACTAAAACCCTTGACTGTCTATAATAGATATTTGATTTCGTAATATACTTAATAACCAACAGCTAATGCACTTTATGGGGTCTAACACAAATTAAAACTTATGCTTTATTGAAGATACAATTACAAAAACTTCATTTAAATTATATTAGAACAAAATAAGTCATATAGCAGAAATTAACTAAATACTATGAGTTTTATCAGATTCCACCTCAATATTTCAGGCTGAAGTTTTTGCCATCCTTAGGGCAAGTGTTCTTGCTTTAAATATGCGCCTTCACGGAAAAGAGGCCGTTGTAAAAGGCACACCAATATCTGAAGAATGACTATCGGATAATATCGTGATTGTTTTAGTGAGTTCGTCTACTTTTCAGTTGTCAGAGATATTTCTCAGCTCAGAGAGTTAGCTCAGCTATTCCATTGCTCTACCAATGCTAATTTTTGTTAATGTAACCTTCCAAATATATTCAGTTATTAAAAAGTTGAAAACATAATATAGACTTGCATGATGAAAAGTGTTCGTTTGATAAAGTATTCATTATTCATTTTTACTCTTATTGAGAAAATTTTCCATAAATTAGTTAATCTTCAGGGATATTGAATTTTAGTTTATATGAAGTGAAAACAAATTTCTGTTTAGAAATTTCATTGCTAAGTGTTGTGGTTGTTAAATTGTGAGGGAGGGTGGGAGATATAAGTCATTTACAGGATTTCTAGTGAATCCGCTAAACAAAAGATTCATTGCAACAAACAGCGAATGCAGTTGTAAATTTCAATTTAATTGCGAATTTAACGCGTTTGGTGTACATTTTTGCACATAATGCATATCTGCGACGTGTGTGGGAGGCGCGGAAGTGAATTGTTGATTACAATTGCAACTGCCTGCAGTGCATTGCAATCATCACGATGAACATGAACATGAAAGCGTACCTTGATAAAATCAACAAATACTTACACAATCTAGTGAGCAAAATATGTACTTATTTTGTATTGCACCTGTTTTATTTATCAGTAGAAAAAAAATAATAGATACTTTACAAATAACAACAACAAATGCCATATGCATAGAATACCTAGAATACCTATTACTACAGAAATTAATGGATTCGCTTTTGTGTGCTAATACAAAAAAATAATTGTTGAGTAAATCATCCATTCAATATGTGGACCAAGCATGCTTTTATTCATTTTTGAATTTTATTTTTTTTTTGTAAAATTAATCATTTTTATTTAGAACATCTTAAGATCCACTTACCTTATCAAAAGCTTTGTACAATTGCTATCATTTTAAAATTTGCATATACATTATACACTTGCATTTACATACTCGTCATGCAATACATCCGTACATCACAAAAGACTGTTTTTTTTTAAATTAAATTAAATTTATGCATTAAATTCAAATTAAATTCAAATTAAATTAAAATGTGAATAACAACATTTTTGTAGTATTGTAAAAACGAATTTGTCTCATATAATTCCTATCTTTTTTCTATTTCTTTCTATGTTTTTGTATATTTTTAATTGTGTATCTCGGCAGTGGCGTCCAATGTTGACGCCGCTGAATTAAGAAGCGATTTATATTCAGAACCTCAGCCGTGGATACCAGTGGTGGCATATCTGGAACCTCTGCCGAGACCAACCAAATCGCCAAGTATGTTCTCCCGATGTGTATGTGGTGTATGTAGTAGTTGTAGTCGCTTAGTTGCACGTACTTTGAAAATGCTTTAAATATGTTATATATGTAATTAATACAAAATACAATAAAAATATATTAAAATGAATATTTATTCGAATTCAGTTTTGCAACTATTTGTGGCGCATTCGTTTGCATTCTATGTCACAAATCTAATCAAACTATGCCACGAGCTACACATAAATAACAGCCACATAACCTTGTGTTTGCATACTCGTATTTCTACCCATAAATACAAAACTTCACACATTTTCAATTGCCAAAAATATAAGTGAAAAATATTGCCTCACAGATACATTTGCCACTGACCAAACAAAGCCTTGCCGGTTATCTCTTGACAATTTATGTTGCAAGCACACAATATACCATATACCATATACCATATATATATTCTGTTATTGTCCTTATACGCCATTGTTTAATTAAATGTATTTTTTTTAAAACCATAAATTGCTTTTCTCATAAATTTTTATAAATAATTAATGCACATTTATATTATTTTTCTTGCAGAATGCGATCAAACTTTCGTTTCACGTATTGGTGGCCCCCAAAATGGCACATTTTCTGCTCCGCTCTTGCACAATCACAAAAATCATTCACGTCAATGTCTCTATACTTTCCTAGCAGGACCTGGCCAACGAGTTGAAGTAATATTTACCTCATTCAATTTACGAGGGAGTCCACCTGAGTAAGTGAATACTTTTCAATATACATATATACTGCGGAATATCTGATATAATTTTCATAAATAATCTTTTTGTTATTTTAATAGCGGCTCGGCTGTTGGTGAATTACCAAAGTAAGAACAAATATAATTTTTCATTTTAATGTAATACCACACATCATAAATTCATCTGCGATTTTATCAAATATTTTAACAAAGTAATCATACTCTTTCAACCCTGCAATACCCCAGCAGTGCTTCTCTATAATCATTGCTGAATAATTCAATCAAATAAATTAAATCAAAACGTTATAAGAAGACCTCCGTGCTCATGAAAAATATTTTTGAAATATAATTGCAAAAATCTAAAATAAAAAAAAAATTAATTTATTATTTATACCTAAATGTAATTATTTACGAGAATAATAGTATTATCTAAACTATTATTAATAATATTTAAATTGATAACAATCTGTAGGCATATCTAAGATACTCAGAACTACACAGTACTTTAACCGAAATGCCATATTAAGAAGAAGTGAATGCATTTAAATTAGTAACGTCCTTAATAGATAAGAATCTTCACTGTTGAGTGACAGTGACATTCAACTTAGTACAAAAGATAAGCTAACATAACCAAAATGACTTTCTCCTGGAGTTTTATACTGTACACTCCTTAACTATATGTTTTGACTTACTCTAATTTTAATCCCTAAACATAATATTCATTAATAATAATAGTCATAATAGTTCATAATAATGCTACATAATAGTCATTAATGTAGATATAATAGTAATGAGAAGACATCTGATAAAACTCAGTATCTATTACAATCTCTTACTGTTTGCTGCTGTACCAACTACATTCGAGGGTTAATAAACTAGCACTCTATGTGTAATAGGACAACAGATATGATTCTGTTCTTTGAATATAGGGAAGAATGACCATTGCATTCTTCAAGTATAATTTCGAATTCAAAATATAGTTATAAAAAAAATAATTCAACAGTGGCTATCTGTTCTCACTGAACCTTTGACGATAGAATTGTGTATATGTAGTTGTGGCCTATACCATCAGGAATTCTCTACATTTTATTCATTGGTGTCACCAAGAAATTTGAACAATTTTTATCTCCGTAACATGTGCTATCTCTAATCAGTTTCTAGTATCAGAGAGTATCAGAGAACACTTAGACATTTGAAATAGTACAGTGAATCAGAACTAAACACGGCCAGTAGAAAACTGCGTCAATTCAAGTTTCAAGTCTTTAGCTACTTTTATATTTGCTTTTAGCGTTTTTAGCATTACTATCTGCGTTACCTCAATAGGTGTTAACTTTGGGTTGATACACCTACATTGTGACCGAAAAGTTTCCGGTCACAATGTACAAACGCAAAATTCTTAATCTTCATCAATATTTATTTTATCTCCTTCAAAATATGCTCCATTAGAAGCGATACACAAATGCCAACGTTTCTTCCAATCATCAAAACATTTTTTATAGGCGCTTTCCGGTATGGCTTTGAGTTCCCTCTGCGAATTCTGTTTTACGTCTTCTATGGATTCAAAACGCGTTCCTCTGAGTGGTAATTTGAGTTTGGGAAACAGGAAAAAGTCACACGGTGCAAGATCAGGTGAATACGGTGGCTGTTTGATGGTATTTATTGAATGTTTGGCCTTAAAATCGTTGATAATGTTGGCTCGGTGCGAGGGAGCATTATCGTCATGAAAAATCCATGAATTATCCTTCCACAATTGAGGCCGTTTACGGCGGATAGCTCTCACGACCGATGCCTAGCTCTCGTGCTATCTCTCTAACACTCACATGAGGATTTTGGAACACGATTTCCTTTGCCTTTTCAATGTTTTCGTCGGTGGTAGAGGCCGAAGGTCGTCCAGAACGCGGCATGTCTTCGACGGTCGTACGACCGTCCTGAAAGGCTTTGTACCACTCATAAACTTGAGTTTTCGATAAAACTGATTACCCATAAGCCTTTTGTAGCATTCGCAACGATTCTGCACACGAAATTTCGTTCGAAACACAAAATTTGATGCAAACTCTTTGTTCAATATTTTTTTCCATTGTTTTTTCGCAACGCACTACTGAGGGGAACTGGTTTCAACAGCTGCCGTAAACGAACTGTCTGACAGATCGCGCTCATTTTTGGCATAGTAATTAAGGAAAGTGCTGCCAAACTACATAAACTTAAAATATCGAAAAATATACAGCGCGCGAATTTTAAATGAGAACTTCCGAAAACCTTTCGGTCACAATGTATAACTTAGATTTGATAAATTTACTTAAATCCATCATTTATTATCGGAACATCCCACAAATAGGAACCTTGGAAAATAATAAAAGTACATACGTGTATTTTTTAGTTAGGTTCAGATGAAATTCCAACTAAATGAAAATTTACATAAAAACTTTTTAAACCCATCATTAGGAAAAAGCTTGAGATCTATAAGACTAAAATAAATTGATAAGCAAAAAAAAAACAGTATACTAAATGTGCATTTGCATTTATTTTTTAATTTAGTTGTGTTCATGAATACATGGATATATATTCCGAAGTGCAGTCGTCTGATCCAGCTGAGTTAATAAACTCACCATTTGGTGGGCGTTATTGTGGCACAATACCGCCACGGCGTCGTATTTCCATGTATCGCGCAATTGCCATCTCTTTTTTTACTAACAAAAACATAACAATGCCTGATTTATTCGAAGGAACCTATAGATTTATAAATGCATGTAAGTATAAACTTTTAAATACTCGTAATTTATAAAAACAACAATTCTCTTTTTGCTAACATATAACAAAATTTAAATTAATTAAATAAATTTAAATAATTTAAAAAATTTTAATAATAGCGGAATATGAAATTGGTATACCAATTGCGGGTTCACCATGTTCCTACACCATCACGCCTAGCATGAGTATTAACAAATCTGGTGCTTTAATATCGCCAACCTATCCAGGTGCTTATCCAAAGGATATGTCATGCACATATCAATTTCTTGGCGAAACAAATCAAAGAGTTAGACTAGAATTTCGCGATTTTGATCTATTTTTTGGTGGACCACAGTGAGTACCTCTAATGCTGGACAAGTGAACAGAAATCTAAAATAAGCACTATTAAAGCAGTGCCTCATATGCCCACCCACCATATGAGCCGTGATTGTAGTGCTTAACTTAGGTTATCGAGCTGCTTAACTTTATATCTAAAAAACATAAAAAACAATTTTCTTTATTCCTATACTCTTCGTACTTGCTTAACACCTTTCCAAACTTTCCAAACAAACAACAACTACAAACAACAACTACAACTACAACTACAACCACCAACTACCAACTACAACTATAACAATATCATATACGCAGCTGCCCATTTGACTATGTCAAGGTGTATGACGGTCCTGACAATTCGTCAGCATTAATCGGTACATATTGCGGACAGCAAAGAAATTTAGTTTTATACTCAAGCGAATCGAGCCTTTTTGTTCATTTTTATACGTTACCAAGAACCGCAAATACGCAAAATCGTGGCTTTAAGGGAATTTATGAATTTAGCGAAAGTTTTGTTAAATTAGATTTTATACGTAAGTATGACTCAATTTCCTTTGATGTGTGATTTTGTAACATTTGTGTACATACATACATAATACATACATATGTGGTAAAAGTTCTATGTTAATGGATTGATTGAGTTGTGGAATTTGTTGTTGTACTTTATATTTTTTTGATTTATTTAAGGAATTTATTATAAAAATTTTGCATTTTATCGTCTTGGAAGTTTTAAAAATAGTTTTGAAAATTTGTTTTTCGAGAAGCACGCAAGATTTGTGCTAGATCTCGTGCTAGATCTCGTGCTATTTTGGTAGTCACGCCAATCAGTTAGTCGAGTAAACCATTAAATCATAAAATTTAAATAAACTGATTCCAATTAAAATATCCTTACCTGAAACGAAGGTCAAAAGATTTCAAGTTAAGAATATGTTAAATAATATTATCAGTGTGCGAATACCGGAAACATTCCAAATAAAGCGCCATTGAAGTTTCTTAAAAACACGAAACTAAAACTAAAGAATTCTTCTTCTTTATAGTAATTTTGTTCGAAATCAAAAATATTACTGAACATAGAAGCATAAAATAACTTTTTGTTAGTACAAAATAATAGCTTGATAGGTTTCAGTTCAAAACCCACTAAGGTGTACCTTAAAGACAGTTCTAAATACTTTCTGTTGAAAACACTTGATCGCTTCATTTTTAAAAATAGAGCACCAGACATATGACATTCAATATGATGCATCGAAGTTAAACCTTATCTAATATTGCTGAGAACCAATAGTTCTACGTGTGGCTTATGCTACGCTCCACCAAGCACATTAACCTTATTGTAGTATATAGTAGATAGTAGTACATTACTAAAAAGTTTACATGTGAACTGCATCGTAATAACGTAAATTTCATTTTATAATAATTCACTTGCAACGATAAGTTCACTTTTCAAGATTACCCACTTGAATGAATTTTGTGCTTAAAAATAAAACTTGTAATATGGAAACAACATCGTTGTTGTTGCAGTTTGCTTATTACTTTTTTGCACATAGTTTTTGCTTTTGCATTGCTGGTTCTCTGATTCTCTTGCGTTGCTCAACTCAATCGGCTATCAGTTCAACTCAAATGTATTCATTAAGCAGTGATATGAGTGCAAAGAAATAAAAAATAAAAATGAGAATATTTTGGTTATATACGGCAGTCAGACTGTGACTGTGTCTATCATTAATAATTACGTGTATTTAAAAATTTTTTTATAATTATTTCAATACTTTTAATAGAAATTGTAAGGAATTATAATTATTCCATTTGGAATGGAATCCAGTTTTAAAATAATGATGATGCTACTAACGAAATAATATTTAGCGAATAAAACTTCCATTAAATTTGGAAATTTCTGAAATATATTTCTATATAAATAATTTCAATATTTTAAATTAATATAACAGATAATATGATATATACATAATTTAAATATTAGGATTCGCAATAAATAATCAAGTTGAATTTTAACTGAATTACTGTTGGATTTTTTTACCTTGTATGAAGAATATTAATTTATGTAGACTTATCATTGAAAGCTTTTAATTTTAAGGCCCCACACTCTGGTTGATAAAGCATTTGAAGTCTAAATGTATGTGCATGTACACCGTTCTATTAAAGCGATAATTGTTGCTGCATTTTCATTTGAAGTTCTTATTTCAAAACTGTTTTCCCCCTTTTCATTTTGCCTAAAAATATTCAATTGCTCTATGTGCTTTATTTTTTCTCCTCTATTTTCTTTCATCATATTTAATTGATATATGTGTTTTATATTTATTTTAATTTGTAAATAATTGTGCGTTACAAATACTCTAAATTTCGAATTACGTGTACTTATCCATACTGTCTACTCTATTCTAACACTTAATTGTCCTTAAACGAAAATTTGAAATGCAACAAAAACGCATCGCTCACATTTGAATGCATATAAAACCTTACTCAGGTGAAAACGATGGCATTCACATACGTGGCTCAGAATGTGACCAAAAGATATTATCGAAAAAGGAATCAACTGGTTTTGTGCTTTCACCAAATTATCCTTATCCGTATATACAAAAAACAGTATGCAGGTGAGTAAATAACCACAGCTGATAAATATTATGCTATAATCTTTAACTAATTTAACTCAAATATTCTTTTCTAAAGATATTTCATATATGGCATGCAAGATGCTCAACACTTGGAACGCGTGCGTTTAGAGTTTATGGCATTCAATATACCAAAGGTGGAGCACAAGGATAAGAGCGAGTTAGTTTCTACTGTTCATTTATTATCAAATTAAAAAATATAAATATTTTCTTTATAACTAATAAAAATTTCAGGTCCAACTGTAGTGATGGTTACTTAAAGATATATCTAAAAGGTCAGGAAACTGCTGATGCATATGATAAATTCGACTACGAACTCTGTGGTAATGAAACACAGCGTGTTGTTAGCGATGGACCACGTTTGGCAATGGTTTTCAGTTCAGGCGAGCTGCAAGGACGTGGTTTCAAAGGAAAGTATACCTTCGAAACGGAGTATAAAATACCAGGTACTGCTGCTCCAGATGGCACATGCAGTTTCACATATGTGAGCAGTTCTAAGAAACGCGGTGAATTAAACAGTCCACGTTATCCATCCAATTATCCTTCAGAGACAAACTGTTCGTATTTGTTCTTAGCAGAACCCAATGAACAAGTAACAATTGTCTTCGATCATTTTAAAGTAAAAGCAGATGGAAATGCAAATGCAACAGTCGGCGCCTACGGGTAAGAAGCATTCTTTCAAAAACATACCAATAATTTAGTGAATAATACTCTTTATAATATCAGATTTAAAAATTATTTGTAAACGCGATTCAGGAAAAAACTTATAAACCAGAAATATTAATTCGGAATTTAATTCATATTAATTACGAAATACTTCAGTTCTGCATGCAACAAAGTGTCAGCTAATAGCACTAAAAACTAAAAAATTTTTAAAATTTAGATTTAACAAAAAAGTTGTTAGTTGTTAAATGCACTAAAATAATAATAGAATAAAATAGTCTCAAATATCTATGTCTAAAGAGTTTTCTTATGCTAATAAAATAGATCATCAAAGTTAATAGAGCATATTTAGTCAATATATTAGTTTATCAACTATTGTACAAAAAAAGTGCTTCAAACCGTACGTAATCATATATATCCCAACTTCTCGAAGATAAGACTTAATTAATTATTCACTAATTAGCGTAAAAAAAATTATTTTAATTTATTTAGATTTATAATTAATAGTTGTGAATACACTAATATACAATATGTTTAAAACACTCTTAGCTCTGGTGCATGCTTTGAAGACTGGCTGGAAATGTATGTTGTCTATCGTGACAATAACGATCGTTTTCTTGGTCGCTATTGTGGTTTCACAGCACCCGGCCCCGTTGAGAGCCCAAGGGGTGCGGTTGGTCTGCGCATCACTCTTCATACAGACCAGGAAAATGTTGCCAGTGGCTTTAAAGCGCGTTATTTCTTCGAAGCAGCCAAATCTGATGTTGGCGATTGCGGTGGCAATTTCTCGAATGAAGACTCTGGCATTATACTGTCGCCCAATTATCCGGGCTATAAAGCACCAAGCAAAGGTATGGCATCAATGGCTTGCAATTGGGTAATGACAGCACGTCCCGGTTATAAGCTATCTATAAATTTTGAAATTTTCTCACTAGAAGGCGACCCAGCAAGTAAGTCTCTTTACTCATACAAATGAAATAAACATATCTACCTATTCCTATTTCTAAAAAATTGTAATCGTATTTTCCAAATAATAGATCGCGGTTGCCCAGCAGCTGTTTTACGTTTATGGGTAAATGTCGATTCAGATCAACCACCATTGGAATTGTGTGGTGAAAAACCACCAGCGGAACCATGGCACTACATATCCACAGGACAAACTGCACGTATAAGTTTCACAACCAGCGATAAAACCGTTGGTGCACCGGTGAGTAAAAACTCTTATCTCTAGCTTTAGTTTGCGATTTCAGTAGTTGTCAGTATGTATGCAGAAATGCATCTGCAATACGAGGCTGTTTAGTATTTAGTATTTAGCGCGTATGTGTGGTTAGTAGTAAACAACAAACAATGGCAACCAGAAGTCAAATTCACGTAAAACGCCAATTGTTTCGTACATGGTTTGCTGTCAATTTGTGCGGTAAAATTTTCCGTTGCTGTTTTCCATTGTAGAACTCTTACATCGGCAAGCGATATTTGCACACAACTGCTCACATCTGCCCAGAATCACCAAATGCAAATGTGGGCAAAGCATTTACGAGTACAAACCATTATTGGCTGCGCATTTCCGCATTAAAATGCCTAAAGCGGCAGTTGCTTCCGCTCACGGACTGCTACGTTGACATGGCAGTCTGCATTTTAATCATTTCGATATTTAAAACCCAAACGGAAGTTTTCAGCTAAGCGATGCATAATGAAATTAGTAACATTTTGCGTGAAAGCTTAACTGGATGAAGTGCCTTCATTCAAAATTCAATCTATTTTATTACTTTTATATATAAACAGAATATAATAATTATATTATTATATATTATGGTTTTTTTTGAAGTATTAGAATAAAAAATGTATTCATTATCTTTTTCTTAACAAGTTTCTAGTCTACGACAGTCTATAAATGAATTTTTCATAGAGAATATAATAACATCAAATAAATTATAATTCCAGAAATCTGATTTTCCATTAACTTGAATTATTCATTCTTAAAAAGTTGAGATTAGAACCAATACAATTGTATTTTTATATGTTATATGTTCTATATCCTTTACAGGGCTTCCGTATTGTATGGACTGAAATCCAAGATTCTGGTCCAGGACCTCCATCTATTGGATTACTTTGCGAATCAACATTCCACTTTCAATGTGAAGTTGGATACTGTATTTCAGATAAATTACGTTGCGATGGCATTAAAAATTGTGGTCCTGGTGATGATTCGGACGAAATGCACTGTGAGTCGTGAGTGAGTCGAACGGTTCAGTTCATTTTCTTTTGTTAAAGTTTTTTTAATTAACTTTAAGTTTCGTAGTTTATAATTTCAGTTGATTTTCCAAAAATAATAATAATTTTTATTACAAATTTCAAATGGAAATTAACGGATTATCAATTAAATATTACTTATTAAAAATATAATTATAATTGTTTTGTTTCAAATTTTAGATCGTACAAAATTAACAAAACAATTTGACATTTTTTTTGGTTTGTTATATATATATAATTTTATTTACTTATATGTTGGCAATAAAAATATTTTATTAAAAAAAAAAAATAAATTAAATAACTTTATATATAACAAAAAATTGTCTGAAATATTTTATGTCAACTTAAATTACTATTATTTGTTTTACTATATAATTTTATATAATTTTATTTTATAAATTTCATTTCATTGTATATTGGTTTCATTGAAAAAAACTTGAACCCGACGAACACATTCAAAAATACTATAAATACTAATATTTGTACTAAAATATACTCCTATTTTATATAATAAAAATATTAATTAATAAATTATTGATATAATTAAATAGTTTCAGTGTTAACGGTGTAAATTTAAAGTTAATTACATTACACTATAAAAGAATATTAGTTAATAATTATATATTAACTCATCAACAATTTTAGTAAAATATTTTTAAATCATTAAATTTAATAATATTAAAAATTAATTATTTAGAATTTAATATTTAAATATATAAAAAAAATTTCAAGACCCCTAAAAAAATTTATAATAATATAGTTCTTTGTATATATGTTCAATTCTGTTTTTAATATATAATATAATAAAATACAGTTTACATCGTTAACATAATTTTAACTTAGTGACTAATAACTTTATTATTAATTAATTGCACCTTATATTCAATTTATATATTATATAATATATTTAAATATTTTTCAAAGAATTACTTCTTATATTTTATATCGACCAAAAATTATGTACCATATCAACATAAAGTAATTAATTCCAATTTGAAATAAAAAAGATTTCATTTTGATAATTATTATTAACCATATTTCCGTAGAACATATAGACTGTATGGAGCGTGAAGGAAACCAAAAAATTTCCATTTGCCAACAATTTGTCTTAATTTGAGTGTATATATGTTAGTCTTATTATCAAAAGTGTGGCAACGCTTTCGACATCGACTTTCTTATAAATTTAAAAAAAAATCACTTGGATTTACTAAGCGATCAACAAATCTGAAAAGTAGAAAAGTTTTTGGGAACTACTTTTTTCTTTATATATATGTAAATCTTAAAATAGATGATTCAAAATTCTTAACTTACGACAACTTCTTAACATCTCAAAAAATTCAAATTTTAGAATTTCTATAGAAATATAAAACTTATAATATTATAAATGCTGCATGGAGTTTTGCACATTGGGAAGCCATTCAGCAACCTGGTCCCGTGGCAAAACATCTCTTCGATTTCTATATTTAACACAGTAACTACAAAGTTATATTAATACAGTGTGTTCCGGATAAATACCGAAATATGGTTAATATAAATAATTAAATATTAAATTTAAATAAAATTTTCTAAATTATTATAAAATCTTTTTGATTAAAAACTGCACCAAATAAACATTTTTTAATTTTGTAAATGCAATTT